TGGAATGTGTCCTTTGATGCACGGAAGTTTGATTTTGGTCTAATTTGTCTGGTTTTACTTTTGTTTCTTGTGCTTCTGGTGTCCAGACAGTGCTTTCTTTTAAAACTTCATTTTTTTAGAGAACTTTTGAGTTCACAGCAAAACAGAGATTTCCCACCTACCTCCTGCTCCCACACATGCACAGATTTTCCCAGTATCCACAAGCCCCTCCAGAATGGTATATTTGTTAAAATTGATAAATCTACATTGAAACATCATAATCTCCCCAAGTCTATAGTTTACATTAGAGTTCACTCTTGGTGTTGTACATTTTATGGGTTTTACAAAATGTGTAATGACATGTATCCATCATTTAGTATCTTACAGGGTATTTTTTAGCACCCTAAAAATCCTCTGTGCTCCACCTCTCCATCTCTCCCCACTCTGCTAACCCCTGGCAGCCACTGATCTTTTTACTGTCTCCATAGATTTGCCTTTCCCACAGTGCCGTATATTAGGAATCATAAAGTATGTAGCTTTTTCAGGTTGGCTTCTTTCACTTATCAATATGCATTGAAGTTTCCTCTGTCTGTTTGCATGGCTTGATGGCTCACTTCTTTTTTTTTTTTTTTAAGATTTTATTTATTTAATTGAGAGAGAGAGAATGAGAGATAGAGGGCATGAGAGGGAAGAGGGTCAGAGGGAGAAGCAGACTCCCTGCCGAGCAGGGAGCCCGATGTGGGACTCGATACCGGGACTCCAGGATCATGACCTGAGCTGAAGGCAGTCACTTAACCAACTGAGCCACCCAGGCACCCCTGCTCACTTCTTTTTAATGCTGAATAATATTCCATTGTCTGGATGTAGCCCAGCTTACTAATCCATTCCCCTCCTGAAGGACATCTTGGTTGCTTCCAATGTTGGTGATTATAAATAAAGCTGCTATAAACATCCATGTATAGGTCTTTGTAGACCTAAGTCGTCAACTCCTTTGGATAATTACCAAGGAACAAGAATTCTGGATCCTATAATTGTTTGTATTTCTTTAGTGTTGGTTGTGATCTCTCCTCTTTCATTCATGATTTTATATATTTGGGTCCTTTCTTTTTTCTTTTTGATTAAGTCTGGCCAGGGGTTTATCAATCAGAAGACATGAATAGACATTTCTGCAAAGAAGACATCCAAATGGCCAACAGACTCATGAAAAAGTGCTCAACATCACTCGGCATCAGGGAAATCCAAATCAAAACCTCAATGAGATATCACCTCACACCAGTCAGAATGGCTAAAATTAACAAGTCAAGAAACGATAGATGTTGGCGGGGATGCGGAGAAAGGGGAACCCTCCTACACTGTGGTGGGAATGCAAGTTGGTGCAGCCACTCTGGAAAACTGTATGGAGGTTCCTCAAAAAGTTGAAAATAGAGCTACCCTAGGACCCAGCAATTGCACTACTGGGTATTTACCCCAAAGATACAAATGTAGGGATCCGAAGGGGTAAGTGTACCATGATGTTTATAGCAGTAATTTCCACAATAGCCAAACTGTGGAAAGAGCCAAGATGTCCATTGACAGATGAATGGATGTCCCGAGACAGGGACAGAGGGACAGAGGGATAGGGGTCTGGGAGTTAACGTGCAGCACCCAGAGAGGGGGCATTGAATAGGGGAGGTCAGCGGGTGGTCTGTGGACACTGAGTACGAGCCTCAGGAGCCCGACGCGGTCTCTGAGCAGGGCGAGGGAGGAGGTGGGATAATGGGCCTGGAAAAGACACAGGGGCAGAGACAACAAACATGACGGATTAAACGCCAGGATGTTCTCTCCTGTGCTTGGCTAGCATAAGTGTAAACAGCCCAAGGGAGGGTGAGGAAGTCTCCCCCCCATCCAATGAATGATTCTGAAATTCCTGTCAACAGTGGACAGTGGGAAATCACAACATGTTTAGTAAGATTTGGAAAAATGGAACATGGTGACATTTCATACACTCCAGAAGTGAGGAGCACTTCATACCCAGCTGTGTTAGTCATGGCTCTCCAGAGAAATAGAACCAAGAGCATACACATAGATACAGAAGAAGAGATTTATCATGCGGGTTGGCTTTTGTGATTATGGGACCTGCGATACACCACCATCTGCCGTCCGTGGTAAGCTGGAGAGCCAACAAAGCACGTTGTATAATTCAGTCCAAATCCAAAGGCCTGAGAACCAGGAGCTCTGATGTCCAAGGACAGAAGACAGATGTCCCAGCTCAAGAAGAGCGAGAGCATTCACCCTTCCGCCACTTTTTCGTTCTATTCCGGGCTCTCAAAGGATTGGATGTCCACCCACACTGGACAGGGCAGATCTTCTTTACCTAGTCTGATTCAAATGCTAATCTCTTCTGGAAACACCCTCATAGACGCATTCAGAAATAATGTTTTACCAGTTGTCTGGGCATCCCTTAGCCCAGTCAAGCTGACACATCAGTATAATGTTAGTGAACTGTAGGGAGTGTGTTAATAGATACAACCTTTTTGAAGATCAGTGTGACATTACATATTAAGTGTCTTTTTTTTTTTTTTAAGATTTTATTTATTTGACAGAGAGAGACAGCGAGAGCAGGAACACAAGCAGGGGGAGTGGGAGAGGGAGAAGCAGGCTTCCCGCCGAGCAGGGAGCCCGATGCGGGACTCGATCCCAGGACCCTGGGATCATGACCTGAGCTGAAGGCAGACGCTTAACGACTGAGCCACCCAGGCGCCCCACATATTAAGTGTCTTAAAAATGTTCAAGCCCTTTGACCCTGTAACAATCCCAATGTCAGGAACCTAGCCCAAGGACACAACTTCACAAAGCTTATTCACAAAGATTTCTGTTGATTGTTTATAACAGGAGAAAACAGGAGATGACTTAAGTGGCCAGTGTAGGGAAACCATGGTCTTTGTCCTCGTATTTCTGCCTCAGTGACTAAAACAGTCATGTCTTCCTGGGGAAGGTTTAGGGACCACACTCCTGCACTCTATCCCACACTCCCTAACAACCATGGGGAGGGGTGTGACTTATGGGACGGTGAGAAATGGTAACCCGTGGGTTGTCTGCCATCTGCCGGGACCACCCAGGTGGCAGCCCACCACGCCTTCTAGTGCAAGCAGATGGCTGTACCAAGTCTAGATTTGCAGGCCCAGCCTTCCTCTGATCAGATTTAAGGAAGAAACCTTGGTTTGGGGCTTCATTTTTACGCAGCACTTGAACATCTGGCTTCACCAGTAATAAAGTGGACTCTGTATTTTAATTCCTCCCTGATGCTTGTCCTTCATGGGATAGTGGTGAGGAGTGGCTGTGCTCATCCCAGAGCATGCCCACCCATGGTTCATTGAGAATAGTCATAGAAGGGGGGGGGGGGTCCTGGAAACCAGTGTCAGAGGGCAGGAGGGGGCCTCTTGAAGAAGCCCCAGCAGCTGGTGCAGGCTGCCTCACAGCTGCTTCTAATACTCAGGGGCCATGTAAACAGGCTTTATAACACAAGTGGGCCGGCCTGGGCAACTATGGCGTGACTGGAGTGTGACATTTGAGTCACTGGGAGGCTTTGGCTGGCGTCATCCAGGCCTGGCCATATGGCCCTTTGTGAGTGTGACCCATACAAGCAGAGCTTGAACTCTGGATTTACCGAAATAGCCTGAGACAGGTATTGAATTATCGGAGAAAGAGAGTTTTTCTCCTGGACCATGTGAAAGATATAAATCTTGGTCCACAAATGCATCTGCTCAAGAATTATAACTTATTTTCTGTAATACCATCATTTCGAACTCCATGGCTCCTTGGGTTCCTGAGATTTCCATTGTATTCCTGGCACCTTGGGTCTTACATGGTGCTGAGGAGTGGAGGGGGAGAGAACATTTGGTCCTTGGTCGGAAGTCCACACAGGTGACCATTGAGACATCCACTGCCTCTGTCTATGTGGCTCCATTCTGATTTGGTGGCTATCTCAAAGTGCTGTTTTTTGAAAAATGAACAGTGGTTATGCCTAGACTGATTAGAAAAGGTGGGGTAAGTAAATTTCTTTTGAGAGAGAGTCAGCGAGCAGGGGACGGGGCGGGGGGGGGGGGAGAATCTTAAGCAGGCTCCATGCCCAGTAGAGCCCATTGCAGGGCTCCATCTCACAACCCTGAGATCATGACCTGAGCCGAAATCAAGAGTCGGATGCTTAACCAACGGAGTCACCCAGGCGCCCCTAGGGATAAGTCAATTTTTGCCCATTCTGAAGTAGTAGAGTACCACAGTTAAGCCAACTGAGTTTTCTCTGAACGAGGAGATCTTGACAACAGCCACAGCCTGACCTGTACCTCGGGAAGACAAATCAAGAACCCCTTCCTTCTTGCCTCCCCTTCCCCATATCCCATCCAGTCCCCACCGCAGTGACAGGCTAGGTGGGGGCATCTGCATTGTCCACCGTACTGAGTCTGGGACAACTGTGGTAGCACTGGGTTTACTTGGGTTTTCTAAGTTCTGTGGGCCTGGGGCTGGTAATATACTGGTTGTCCCACTGACTCCTTGAAAAAGTGGGCTATAGAAGAAATTTGGGGTTGGATCAGTTTGCTTAAGGAGTGACACCTGTTCTAATGAGACCTTAGGCTTCAGCTTCTGGAGAAAACCCAGGCTCCTGACTGAGATCCTGCTCAAACAGGGGAGGTCAAGATATTAGGGAGGGAAGAATTTTGGATTTGAATTCTCTTGGCTTTTCATTTAGGTGATTTCATATTTGGACTTCCATAATGAAATTCTTGTTGAGAATCTAATTACTGGAGGGGGTTTTGGCAAAATTGGAAACTTTATACTACTGACATTTGGGGGGTATTTTATGCTATTAGTTGGGCTTGTTGTAAAACGCAGTGTCTTTCCAACATTTTTCTTGAATTAGAACATGCAGCAGGGAAATGCATTACACATCCCGGCCCTGTAACTGAAGCACAATTTTTACAAAATAAAAACCTCTCAGCTGGGGTTCCCATGAAAGCAGAGCCTGCGACAAAGGCTTGAGTGTGTAGGCAGTTTATTCGGAAAGTGACATTAGGAAGGAGTGGGCAGCAAGGGAGCAAAACTGAGAAGAGCCAACACAGGCACGCGGGACCGCGGCCACCGTCGCCATGGTGACCGCAGCTCAGTCTCCCAAGACCTGCTCCGAAGCTGAAGGAATTCGGCTCACACGGGCTTTGTTGGGGGATGGATGCTTGCCCCACAGTGAGCTCCACGGTGTCCTTTGGGTGTTGACCCCCCCGCCCCCCCACCCCGCGCCAGGGTGCCCTGTTGAGTGGCACCTCTGTGGCCCTGATCAAAAGGGCATCAGGGGCTGGAGTAAGGGGTCGAATGGGAAAGATCTGCAGTGGCCACGAGAGGTGTTCAATCAAGATACTTATCCTTACCAAGTGCAATACCGCATCCCATGCTAGTTCTCTCTCACACGCACACACACACTCCAGCTGAGGCCCACTAAGCGGTGGTTCTCAAAGTGTGGCCTGGAGACCCTGTTTCAGGGGGTCTGTAAGGTCAAAACCAATTTCATAAAACCATTAAGATGCTGCTTCTCTTTTCCGCTCTCATTCTCTCACAAGGGTGCTGTGGTTCTCCAGACGTGCGGACTGAATACAGAAGCAGATAGGAGAACCCAGCTGTCTTCCAGTAACCCAGACATTTAAAGAGGTTTGCAAAAATGTAAAACAATTCTACTGGTCTCACCGCTAAATTTGTTTTAGAAAATTGTTATTTTTCATAAAATGTTATTTAAATATATAAAGTATAATGGGTTTAGTATTTATAAAGATGTTTTTAAAATTCCTATTTCTTTTTTTAAAGATTTTATTTATTTATTTGAGAGAAAGAGAATGAGAAACAGAGAGCACGAGAGGGAAGAGGGTCAGAGGGAGAAGCAGACCCCCCGCTGAGCAGGGAGCCCGATGCGGGGCTCGATCCCGGGACTCCAGGATCATGACCTGAGCCGAAGGCAGTCGCTTAACCAACTGAGCCACCCAGGCGCCCCTAAAATTCCTATTTTAATTTCTAAGTATAATCCACATATATGAAAGCTCTTTGGGAACACTCTTTATGAGTGTAAGGGGGTCCTGAGATTTTAAAAAATGGTGCGAATCGCTACATTAAACTGACCAAGACCCTGGGAAGAATTGCAGCCCATAATCTGAGAAACACTGACATAATCTCTTACGAGCGGTAGGGACACTGTGGTTGGGAAACAGAATGAAAAGCTAATAGGAGGCCTGAGGTGAGGTGGGGTACTGGAGTAATTAAGGGCCTTTTTCTGACCCATTTCAAAATCTTTTTAGGCCTATCATTGGCCTGAGGGGAATACAAAGGGACGATGCTGATCTGGGAAGGAGTCTCACAAAGGTGAAAGGACTGCTCTGATAAGGACCCATTCTTCCAAAGAAACTGCCCCTCCGGGTTGACCACAGGTTGTTAAAGCCAATGGATTAAGGCAGGCAGTTCTCAGTCCTGGCTGCAAGTTGTTCAGTGTCCAGGAGTCATTAAAAGCTACCCCTCCTTGGGCCCCACTCCAGACCAATGAATTAAAATTTCTAGGGATGGGGCTTAGGCATCTTTACCTTTTTATTGATGTTATATCAAGGGAACAGATCTTGGGTGGGGGGATGTGTGGAACATCTAAAGGGGATTAGGAGGTACAAACTTCTTACAAAATAAGCCACAGAGATGTAATGTCCAGCATAGGGAATATAGGCAATAACACTGCAATCACTTTATATGGTGACAGATGGTAACTAGTCCCATTGTGGTGAGCATTTGGTAATGTATAAAAATATCAAACGGCTACCTTGTACACCTGAAATTAAGATAGTATGTCAACTATGATTCAATTTTAAAAAGCACAAGTTAAATGATATTAACAGTATGCTTCTGTTATAGCCAGGTAACTATAACCCAGATCAAGATGCAGGGCATTTTTAACCTCCCAACGGGTTCCCTCATGCCTCTCCTGGTTAATACTCCTATTGTATAGTTATCACCAAAGGTTCGTTTTTCCTGATTTTGAGTTTCATATAAATGGTATTATACACTATATATTCTTTTATGTCTGTTTTTTTCCCCAGCGTGTGTGTGATATTCATTCATGTAGTTAGGTAGAGCAGTGATTTGTTCTTGTTTGCATGGCTGTGTGGTTTTCCACCATATATTTATTTTTTAAAGATTTTATTTACTTATTTGACAGAGAGAGACACAGCGAGAGGGAACACAAGCAGGGGGAGTGGGAGAGGGAGAAGCAGGCTTCCCGCCGAGCAGGGAGCCCGATGCAGGGCTCGATCCCAGGACCCTGGGTTCATTACCTGAGCCGAAGGCAGACACTTAATGACTGAGCCTCCCAGGTGCCCCAGTTTTCCACTGTATAAACAGATATTTTTTGTTTATTTACCGTTCTACCCTGGATGGAGCCAACTGGTCCTCTCAAACTGAAGTGTGGAGACATGCTCTTACCCTAGAAATACAGGAGCTGGGACAAACGACAGACTAGAAATAGCAGATTCATGTCACCTGTCTTATGCTTACAAGGCAGGGATATGGTTATGAAAAATGGAAGCCCTGGTTTTCTCAACTATTTAAAATTAATAGTTTCTTTTTCTTCTTTTTACAGGAGGTATAGTTAAATTTGCACAAAAATGTGTGGCTCCATTCCTGTACAGAGACTTTGGGTGTCAAAAGTTAGAAGGCCTCGAATGCTTGAGGAGTTGAGATTTGGTCCCACTGGCCAACTGTTAGTACACTCTTGCTAAGTTACATATGGTCTGTTTTTGTTTTGTTTTTTGTTTTTAAAGATTTTTTATTTATTTATTTGACAGAGAGAGAGAGCACAGGCAGGGGAAGCTGCAGGCAGACAGGGAGATGCAGGCTTCCCGCTGAGCAGGGAGCCCAATGCGGGGCTCGATCCCAGGACCCCGGGATCATGACCTGAGCCGAAGGCAGACACTTAACAACTGAGCCATGCAGGCACCCCGTATGGTTTTTAAAACTTATTTCTATCCAAGCTTCTCAATCTCACATGGACACAACTAGATATTAACAAGGAGGAGTCACTCAAACGAATTCATATACTGAATCCTCCAACCCCCTCAATTTCCCCAAATACTGTCTGATTCAGTAAAAAGCATAACTATCTACAAGGCTCATCGATCCAGAGACCCCAGGAATGCCCCACGATCACAACTTCTCTCAGCAGCCGCCCACTCCGCACAACCAGATCCACACACCCTGTCCGTCAGCTGTGTCTCCGACAAAGGCTGCAGAGCGACCCGCTCATCCCCAGCACCACTGCCACCACTTAGAGCGGCCCCCCTCACATCCATACTCCTGCCCCACCCCCAACTCTCCCTCCTGAATCCATCCTCTATCCACCAGCCTGAGCAACTTTTTCAAGACATGCACTGGGCCAGGTCATGCCTTTCCTCAAAGCCTCCCTCTAGCTCAGAATCTAAAGGGCCTCCAACTCATCACACTGATACTTAATTCCAGACTTCCCAAGCTGGCTTACAAAGCCCCCTGCAGCAGTGCGATGGTGCTGGGCCTCTCCAGGCTCCCCTGAGACCACACTCCCCGGGGCAGTGTGCTCGAGGCCCCCTGCTGGGCTTCTGTCCACACTGAGCTCCTTCCCACCTGGAGGTCTCTGCCCCCCGCTGCTTCTTACCGGCAAGCTCTCCAACATTCCCAATCCTTCGGATGGGCTCCTGGCTTTTGCTAATCACATTTCCACCTCAACTGCCTCTCTCTGAACAGCCTTCCCGGACCACCCACGCTAAAATAGTCATCCCTTTACTTTCTAGAACATTATACTATCTTAATTCTCTGCATAGCACTCGTCAAATAATATTTGCTTATTTGCTTAGTCTGTCTCAATCTGCTTCTGAAATGTAGGCTCTTTCAGAAAGAATCTTATCATTGCTATATCTAGAAAAATACCTGGTATGTAGTAAGTACTCAACAAATGTTTCTTTCTTAGACACAAATATGATGCAAGAACACACAAATTCAATGTACCCCTCTCCCAAATCTAAGAGTTTGAATTCTGGGCCTCTAAGAAAAAAAACAGCAGGAAGGATATATCTGCCATTTAAAAATCATAACATGAATGCTTCTCTGGAGGGACTTCTTGTTTTTACTGATACTTATTTTTGTCTGCTATCTGGTAATGCAGTATTTTATTTATTCTGTTAATAACTAATACTCAAGAACTTTTATAATATTAATATAACTTAATCTAAAAGAACAACTTACTTTGTTTACATTTCAATAATGGGTACGAGAGAGTCAAAATAATTATGGTCAAAATTATTATATAAAAAATTATAGTAAATGCTCAGTGTTAGTCTACATACAATTTAGTTTTTGGCATAAAGTTATTTAGTTGCCAGGAAGAACATTTGGTTTACTTCACTAATAGGAATATCTCTTAATGCTGGGATGGCCTCTTCTTGGTATTTCTTCTGCTGTTGATTTTTAGCATAGTTATCTGTAAGAAGAGGACAAAAAGCTCTGTTTACCCAAGCAATTTCTTCTACCATTTCTTTTTTTAAATATTTTATTTATTTATTTGACAGAGAGAGACACAGTGAGAGAGGGAACACAAGCAGGGGGAGTGAGAGAGGGAGAAGCAGGCTTCCCGCGGAGCAGGGAGACTGATGCGGGGCTCGATCCCAGTACCCTGGGATCATGACCGGAGCTGAAGGCAGACATTTAACCAACTGAGCCACCCAGGAGCCCCTCTTTTACCATTTCTGTGGTTTACGGAGATCCACTGCATAGTTTACTAGGCTAATATTGGCATAATGACAAATACCGTGTTTAACATAATTAAAAGACTTCTTAAATTAAAAGACTACTTAAATTCTCTCTTTAGAAGAACTGTCCCAATTCGAATAAAAATCAGGAAGGTATTTTCTGCATCTCTAGGATAAGAAATATTTCATTCATTCAACTCTACAATGATGATTAAAGTCCCATCTGCACATTTCTCATAGGGACAGAATTATATGAAGGCTTAGAAAATATATTTAATCCGACACCCCAAACTATTAAATCACTTGGTACAATCATTCATGCAAACTTAACAATGTCCCCTCATTGCACAAATTATCTATCTGCTGTAATTTTAGGCAAGAAGACAGGGAATACAGTAGCTTATCAGAAAGAAATATAAAGGGGCGCCTGGGTGGCTCAGTTGGTTGAGCAACTGCCTTCGGCTCAGGTCATGATCCTGGAGTCCCGGGATCGAGTCCCGCGTCGGGCTTCCTGATCAGCGGGGAGTCTGCTTCTCTCTCTGACCCTCCCCCCTCTCATGCTCTCTATCTCATTCTCTCTAATAAATAAATAAAATCTTTAAAAAAAAAAAAAGAAAGAAATATAAAAATACTAGAACTGGTTTTCAAAAGACATTGTATAAGCTCATGAAAAAAGGCTTTCAAAAGTTAAAAATCATACCAAGCAACTTAAAAAACCCCTTCACCTCCGAGAATCTAAGCAAGGTCAGGAATTTATTTTAATTTTTAGACTTAGGGGAATTAAAAAAAAAACTACAAAAACATGCCGTGGCTCTTCTAACTACATAATTGGGGTCAGGTGTATACAAGGATCCTGAGGAACATGCACACTCTCAAATCCCTCTACTGAACAAGGTCTGCATGGACCTATTTGCCATTGTTTGATCAACACTGCCTGTTTAGGGTAAAATATGGTTTTCTCAGGCACAGTTGCTAAGGAACATATTATATACTTGTGGTCTTTATGGGAAAATATACCTGATGACTGGTGCCATAAATAGCATATTCATCAGAATTTATTTCTGCCACATAAACATATCCTCTGGTATAACTTTGTATTTATTTCTCCTAGGTTCTTTTTCTTGTGCTGACATGTGTCACCTACTACAGCCTATTCTTAGTTGCTTTTCTTGATAAAACAGCTAATACCTTGCTCCTCCCTCCCCCAGCACTTCCCTTTGATATACATTTACCTGTGATTGTATGAATGGAGTTGAGTGGAGAGGTACTCATCATGTTTATTCCAAATAAGAGTACATAACCAATTACTACAGTAATGAGGAAGTAGACGGGCAATGCAACTGCCCAGTATCTGTAGAAGAAAATATTAAAGAAAATATTAAACTGCTATAAAGTCATCATTCTCAAGAGTCCTTCACCGAGTTAACATGCTTTTTAAATCTGATTTTTTTATTAAAATAATACATGTATATAAAAGAGCCAAATCGTTCTACAAGGCCTGTAATGAAAAGCTGCAATCCTGCATCGTTCCCTACCGTAGCACCATGGAAAAAGTGGAAACTAAGTCAGTTACCTCTCACCTGTCTGCAATCCATTTCCTTGAATTCTTTTGATACTTCTTATCTGCTATCCCATTATTTGTTCCTGTGGGTTTACACCTTAAACATTTTTCTTGGGGCGCCTGGGTGGCTCAGTCGTTAACCATCTGCCTTTGGCTCAGGTCATGATCCCAGGGTCCTGGGATCGAGCCCCGCATCGGGCTCCCTGCTCAGCTGGAAGCCTGCTTCTCCCTCTCCCACTCCCCCTGCTTCTGTTCCCTCTCTCGCTGTGTCTCTCTCTGTCAAATAAATAAATAAAAAATCTTTAAAAAAAAAACAAGAAAACCCCACATTTTTCTTGTATAGTGTTATCTTAGCAAGATGTTAGAAGGAAATAGAGACAATGATGTGTGTTCATCCTGCCATCTTGAATTAGAGGTGTATTAATAATCTCTGAAAAGCTTTAAATTTCATTATGGCTATTTATGGATCTTAAAAGGATAAATATTTACAATTTGGGTAGTCTTAAGGAAAAACTATGATCCTTAAAAACAGTATTAATACATTTTTATTTAAGAAAAACATTAAACTTACTTTTGGGGCCAATAGGTTAATCCTAAGGAGTTTAGCCAAGATTCAGGAATAAATGCCCACACTAGATACAGGACTGCAGAGAGGAACAGAAACAAGAAAAAAGAGAAGTCATTTAAGCATGCATCTAGTTTATCAAGGTTCAGATAAAACACCTGGTACGCCTGGTGGCTCAGTCAGTTAAGCGTCCAATTCTTGATTTAGGCTCAGATCATGATCTCAGGGTTGTGGGATGGAGCCCCTATCAGGTTCTGTGCCCACCACAGAGTCTACTTAAGATTCTCTTTTTCCCTATCCCTCTCCCTCTGACCCTCCTGCTCATGTGCGCTCTCTCGCTCCCTCTCTAAAATAAATATTAAACAACAAACAAAAACCAAAAAGCTCTTTGAAGATTCTCTGATCACCTCAGAATTGAGTTTTCTTTCCTTTCAGTCTCCTAGCTCCTTATTTCTATCATTCTTATAATATTTATGACACTTAAAGTAGTCTATTTGCATTGCTGTGAAATGATCTCTAGAACTTTACCATCTCGCAAATCTAAAACTCTATGCCCATTAAACAACTCCGTTTCCCCCGTTAGTCTTTTTTCTAAAACACGTCTTAACTCTCATACTGTATTTTAAGCAATTTAAGGGGAGAAATCACATCTTAGCAATTGTTGGGATCCTTACAGCACCTAGCAATTTGCTTTATACATAGTAGCTATTCAATACTTCATTCCCACAGGGTTGAAATGATTATAGACACTGGTTGCTTAAAGGTGAATTTATCTACCCTTGTTCTGATCCGCCTCATGACGGGCTTCTGCCTCATCTCCCAGAATACAATCTTATTTCCCTCAAGCCCAGTCTTTGTGGAACCCTTTATTGTTAATTTGTAAAAACAACAGCTAACCTCCAAGCACTCACTGTGGGCTAAGCACACTTCAAAGCATTTCACATGCATTATTTAATTTAATCCTTAAAACAATCTTATGATATGTATGCCATTTTTACAGAGTAGTAAATGAAATCTTTGAAATGTTACATCCTCTGCCCAAGGTAAGGGGCACAGACAAATTTCAAACTATCTGTATCAGTGATGTTGAAGGATTCATATTCTACATCAGGAGCATGAGAAACAGTGGCGAACCCAAAAGACATGGTCTCTGGCCTTCCCAAGCTTAAAATCTAGGGGAGGGGAATAGAATAAACTGATATTTTCATTACACTGTGATAAGTGCGAATGTGTAATAAGAGGTGACACAGGAACACACAAGAAGGATCTTAGCCCACTCTAGTGCTGATAGAGGTGATGTTAATGGTCAGGAAAGATTTCCTGGAGGAAGTGACTAAACTGGGACCTAAATAATCAGTAGGGGATTAGCCAGATTAAAAATGTGTATGTCTGGGGCCTGCAGATAAGGAAGGAAGGAAATAAGAGAAAATGGTGTTCGCTGCCATGATCCACAGAGAGAGCGCGAGGGATCTGGTAAGGGATCTGGTGTGACTAGATGGTAGAGAGAAAAGGTGGCATGGGACAGGCTTGCAGCTTGTGATAGTTTTTAAGATGAATGAAATACAAAGAGCGGGAAAACATAATACAAATTCATAAATGGAAGTGATTGACTTTAATTAATTCAATGAATGAGCATTTATTGAATATCTACTATATGCCAGGCACTATGTAAAAGTCAAGGCTATACAGAAATAAAAGACACAGACCCTATTCTCACAAACTAGTGTACGAGACAGAAATGAGTCAAATGTAGTGGCAGGAACTTCCCATGCATTAGCTTATTCGACCCTTTCCAAACCCTTTGGGATGTATGCTATTATTATCCCTGATCCACAGATTTGAAAAAAATCAAGGCATAGGGAATTTAAGTAACTTGCTTGGGATCTTACACTAAAAGTTACTGGGCTGGAATGTGAACCCAGTGTGCTCATACTATGGTTTCAGGCAGCAGCAAGAACATTAGTAAAAACACACAAGTGAGGAGGGATGTGATGTATCTGGGGGTAACTTTAAGCCGTTTAGAGTGAATGGGGCATAAAGCGTGAGGCTGTGAGTGCTGAGAAATAAAGCTGGAAATGCAAACAGGTCCCAGATCATGAAATATGTTGTACAAGCAACCTGGACTTTATGCTCCAGGCAATGGGGAGAACTGGGTATTTTGTTTGTTTTTAACTTTAAAGACACAGCAAACTACAAAGAGAAATAACCATTCCTACCCCAACCAGAGGTCTTGAGCGGAGGAGTCAGGGGATTAGCCAGATTAGAAGGATACACAGTTGGGGCCTACGAAGGAGGAAGGAAGTAAATAGGAGAAAATGGTGTTCCCTGCCGTGATCCAAAGAGAGCTGGGATGGTTGTGTGCAGGACGCATCTCTGGCAGAGGCAGTAAGAAGCCCGCCAGATTCAGTGGCAGGAGCAGAGGAATGAGTTAGGAGGAGAAAGACTGTTAAGTGAAGAACAGCTCCCAGGTTTTTAGAGAGGGTGTCTAGAAATTTCAAGCCTTGGGGTGCCTGGGGGGCTCAGCGGGTTAAGCATCTGACTCTTGACTTAGGCTCAGATCATGATCTCAGGGTGGTGGGATTGGCTCCTTGCTGGGTGTGGAGCCTGCTGGAGATTCTCTCCCTCTGCGCCTCCCCTGCTCTGTCAAAAAAAATTTTTTTTCAAGCAGTCCTTTTCCACACAGCAATGAGTGATCTTCCAAAAATATAAATTTGACCTGAGCAGTCCTTTTCCACACAGCAATGAGTGATCTTCCAAAAATATAAATTTGACCAGGTCACTTGACTTGCCCAAACCCTTAGAATAAATTAAATACCTTTAGAATAAAATCCAAACTCCTTACCAGGACTTGCAAGGACTTAAATGTTCTGCCCACCTCTCCAACTTCTAGTCCTGGTGCACTATGCTCTAGCTCCAGTGTCTCAGGGCCACTGCACTTACAGTGAGTGCTGTCTGCCCAGAATGTTCTTCCTTTGACTCTTTCAGTGGATGACTCCTTCTCTTCCATCATGTCTTAGCTCAAATATCACCTTCTTAAATGAGGCATTCCCCATCACTTGATACTCCAACTGTGTCCCACCCACCACACTCTCCTTACTCCCTATCACTTCCCTCTATTTCCTTCAAAACTTTCATCAAAATCCGTAATTACTGTTATGGACCGAATGTTTGCATGTGCCCCAAATTCATATGTTGAAGCTCGAATCCCTGGTGTGGTGGTATTTGGAGGTAGGGCCTTTGGGAGGTAGTTAGGTTTAGAGAAGGTCATGAGGGTGGGGCCGCATGATGGGATTAGTGCCCGTATAAGGAAAGTCAGAGACCAGAGCTTCCTTTTACTCTCTCTCTACTATGTAAAGACACAGCAAGAAGGTGGTTGTCTGCAAACCAGGAAGGTCTTCACCAAGAACCCAACCATGCTGGCACCCTGATCTTACACTTCCCAGCTTCCAGAACTATGAGAAATGTCTATTGTTTAAGCCTCCCAGTCTACGGCATTTTGTTACAGAGGCCTGAGCAGACTAAGAAAACTGCCTTGTTTTTAATTCAGTAAATATTTAAACGTAGAGAGAATCCTGTAACCCTCTTGCACCCACCACCTAGGTTTATCATAACTGCCGGATATGGTCTCTGACCTCTATCCTATTACTTTTTGCCTCACCTTCTCAGACTTCAACCTTACTGACCTCCACCTGTTCCTTGAATCCACAGGCATGCTCTTCTAAACGCTTCTGTACTGTCCATTCTCTGTCTGGCAGGCCCTTTCCCCAGATTGCTCCATGGCTAACTTGCACTCTTCATGTCTGTGGTTAAATCTCATCTCTGTGAGGCACTTCCAGACTGCTGTCTTTAAAACAGCAACCTCCTCCCGTTCCTTATCCTCCTTTCTTAATTTTTCCCCATGGTACATGTTATCATATATGTATTACTTATTTAATTTGTTCATTGGCTATCTCCTCCTACTAGAATGAAATCCCTCTGAGAGCAGGAAATTTTTGAATATTTTGCTCCTCCTTTGCCTGTAACAGTGCCTGGCATGTGGTAAGCACTCAAAAATTTGTAGCATTAACTTTTGGTTGTGGGCCATAACTACTTCTTACTAGATATGTCTCTGGAGGCCAAAGAAACAAAAGCAGAAATAAAGTATTGGACATCACCAAAATAAAAAGCTTCTGCACAGTGAAGGAAACAATCAACAAAACTAAAAGGCAGGGGCACCTGGGTGGCTCAGTCGTTAAGCATCTGCCTTCGGCTCAGGTCATTATCCCAGAGTCCTGGGATCGAGCCCCGCATCAGGTTCCCTGCTCCGCGGGAAGCCTGCTTCTCCCTCTCCCACTCCCCCTGCTTGTGTTCCTGCTCTCGCTAGGTCTCTCTCTGCAAATAAATAAAATCTTAAAAAAAAAAACAACTAAAACTAAAAGGCAACCTACTGAATGGGAGAAGACATTTGCAAATGACATATCTGGTAAAGGGTTAGTATTGAAAACATAAAAAGAACTGATACAACTCAACACCTGAACAACAAATAACCCAATTTAAAAAATGGGCAGAAGACATTTTTCCAAAGAAGACTACAGATGGCCAATAGACATGTGAAAAGATGCTCAACATCACTCATCATCGGGGAAATGCAAATCAAAACTATAATGAAATACCACCTCCCACCTGTCAGAATGGCTAAAATTAACCACACAAGATACAACAGGTGTTGGCGAGGACATGGAGAAAGGGGAGCCCTCTTGCACTGTTGGTGGGAATGCAAACTGGCGCAGCCACTCTGGAAAACAGTATGGTGGTTCCTCAAAAGGTTAAAAACAGTGGGTGTTACTGGATTTAAGTCTTAAAGTCAATGCCTTTATTTATTCGTATAGTTTCTAATCTTTCAAATACCCTACAGAACAGGGATTTAAACAATGGTGACAATGAAGTAGCAGCCCACATTTATTGAGTACTTATCAATCTTTTGTATTGTTTTAAGCACTTTGCATGAATCAAGCAATTAATCCCCACAACAGCTCTAAAAGGCAGCACAGTGAAGTCAACCCAGTGTCTGGGTTCAAATTCCAGCTCTATCAGTTTCTGGCTGGGTGATCCTAGGCACATTCCTAAAACCCCATGCCTCAGGATCGTCATCTGTAAAATGAGAACAGTAATAACAATACCTACCTCACAGGACTGTCTTGCACATAATAAGCATTCAATAAACATCATCACCACCCTTTTACAGATGAAGAACCTGAAGGTTCAAGAGCGTGGACAAATGGTGCCAGGTGACAGAGCTAGTCCCCGGAGGAGTCAGGATTTGAACTCAAGTCACAACCTCTTTACTCCATACACGACCCTCGCCAACAGCATGGTTGGCTGTACCAATGCAGTCAGGGTTCAGAGAAACCACCACTCTCTCACTTCCCTGGTTTCCACAAAATTCCGAAAAGTTGGATGGGGGCACCCAATTTTTTCCCTGTTGTATTCCTTATAATTCTGACATCCTTTAGAGGAGAGATGTGGGGCCTGCTGTGTGACCCTGGGCACAGGAGTGTCTCAGTGAGCATCAGTTTCCTTATCTGGAAAACAGGATCTTCCAGGAACTAAGCCAGATCTAAGACTCTAAAGTGCACATGACTTCTCCAGCCTAATTCTCTTGGCTTCCTGGCTCCTACAGGCTGCACCTGCACCAACTTACTCACTCTAAACCTTTCATTCAAAACCTTCCCACATCTTCCTTCTTATTGCCTTCCTTCTTATTATCAGGGAGAAAGCTAACCCTGTTTCCCTGTCTGATTTCATGTTTCTCTACTGGGTTCTCATGGCTCTTTTCACAGTTAATTGTAGATTCCCATGTCCGTCTTGTACAGAAGACTATGACCACAGGGACCAGGTTTTATTCACTTTGCAATCCTGTCTGGTGCTGTATAAGTATTTGTTGAGATTATTTACACTAGTGTCGGGCATATGAAATACCAAACACAAGTTCCCTTCAGGTTTTCCTAAAAAGAGGCATAAGTAGAAACAATCACAGCTCATATGTGCACATTCTAAGAACAAATGCAGTAATATCCTTGTCCTTGAACACCAGAAAAGAGGCCCTGGCCATCCATCAGGAAAGTACTTACTGAAGCCAAATTGGGAGCTTAAGAAAAGAACAAAGCCATAAATCGCTCTTTCTGGCAATGGCGACGGTGAATTTTCCACCATTTTCCCTGTGGCTTTAGACAATCTGTGGGAAAGAAACACAACCATCGTCAGTGATCTACTCCCCTCATCACTGGTCTGTTGTAGCCTCATCGCTTTGCTATGGGCACAGCCTTTGCAGTTTTTTTCCTAGCCTAAACCAATGCACACCGCCAGCCTGCGCACACACCTCCAACACACACCGCTTGCACGCGCGCACGAGCCCCAGACCTCGCGTGCGCGCGCACACAAGCGCACCCGCCAAAGCGCGCGCACCCTGCAGCGGAGGGGAGGGGAGAGCAGGGAAAGTACGGACGCCGCTCCCACCCTGCAGGATTCGCCTCCCTGCGGAAAGGGCTTGGCAGGGCCGCGCTCGGGGAACGCGCGCCTCCCCAGGTCTGGGCCACGGCGCCCGGGACCGGGCCCTGCCCTCTCGCGGGAGCTTGGTTCCTATTCAAGGGTTGGGGGGTGGGGGAGGCCCTTGACCTTGGGTCCTCGAAGCGCCCACTCAGGCCCCCCCCGACAGCTCGGCCACTTCAGCGCCAGATCCCCGCGCAAGCCCCTTCCGGAAAGCCTCCGCGGGGGCGAGAAAGGGAAAACCTAAAGGAAAGGCCGGGTCGCTAAGGCGCCCCCCCCCACCCCTCCCGCCCACGCGCAGGCGCACCGCGACCCTTGCCGGCCCGGAGCGCGCGAGCGCCGGGGACGGCCCGATCGCTCGGCTCGCCGCCGCGGAAGAGGGCGGGGTTGCACGACTGCGCCTGTGCGTTGCCCACGTGACGCGCTTGTCGCCTGCGCCGCCGCCCGCTCCCGCCCGCCCGCTGGCTGACGTGGAGCGCCCGAGGCGGCGGCGTCGGCGGCGCCCCGCGTCCGAGGCTCGCGGGCGGCGGGCCCCGGTGAGTGCACATCTGGCGCGCGGCGGGGCTCCCGGATGTGTCACCTTATCGCGCTGCAGCCGAGATGCCCGGGGAGAGGGGCCCTCCACACCCCCTCCGTGGGTGTGTGGTGAGTGTGGTGTGTGCGCGTCGCCCCGCGTCGCTCGCTGTGGTGCCCCCGGTGTGTCTGCGTGGGTCGGGGTGCCGGTGCGCTGGGGGTGTGGCCGCCTTTGTTGCCCCCAGTGGGTCTGTCACCTTTATCTAACGGGCCCCTTCAGCCCCCTTGGGCGCCTCCGGGCATCTGTGCGAGGGTGGGAGTAGCCCCTTTGTGTGCGCATCCCCCTGCTGCCCGCGCACTCGCGTCTGGAGGGTGACACCCCTGAGACGCGAGGGGTCCCTCGGTCCGGGCGGGCGGGCACGCGCCTGTGTTTCCACTCCCGGCTTCTTTGTGTCGCGCCCGTTCTTGGCGACGGCGTGGGCGGCCCCCCTTTGTCACCGTCCCCCTCCGGGGGGCGCGCGTCCCCCGCTCGCGTGGCCGCGCCTTCTGCAGTCGTGACCCCATCCTGGATCATCTCCCGGCCCGGTGTGCGTCCTCGCGTGTCCCTGCGCGCGTGCGGCGCCTGGGTCTTGTCGAGTGTATGATCTCCCTTGTGCGCGTTTTCGTTCGCGAGCGTTCGTGCGCGCCCCGTTCTCTGTTTTGTGTGCCTTAAGTCTGCGCCACCTGTTTTCGTGAGAGTGGCAGTCGAGTCCGGGGGTGGCTTCCCTCCCAGGAGGGGGCCGGGGTGGGAAAATCAACGCAGCGCTCCCCGCTCCCTCCTCGCGGGAGCTTCCTCCCTCCCCCGACGCGAGTGGGAAGGGAGAGACGGAGGCTGGTCTGGACAGCTGCTCCGTAGTGTTGACGACGTCAGGTGTGGCCTGTCGAGCCAGCCTATTCTGGGGACACAATGAGCGGGGAGCCAAGGGCCAAAAATTGAGCCAAGGCGTAGGTGAATTTTGGCTGGTACCAGTGCGGAGTGCCTTTTCCAGAAGCGCCGAATACGCCCAAAGCCCTTCGATTGCGGACTCCTTCCAAAATGCGCACACACGCCAACTGGGCAGATACGTTTTGGCTGTGCCTGGGCTCAGCTACGTGCCACTACGGTTCATATAGTGTTTTATGGCGTTCACATAAATTATCTCTTGATTCTGCCCAACATCCTGGCGAGGGGACTCAAGGTAGACATCGTGCAGATTTTTACTTCTCCCTTGGCAGCAGTTTTCTCATAGTTACAGCTCTAGTTAGGACATTTTTTATTACAAGAAATTTGCGTTTTATCCTAAGGGAAATGGGATTTATTACAAGGATACACAGGGAAGGAGACTTCAAACCGATTAAAGATCCACCTCCTACGCTGCTTCTTGCTCAAAGGTTCATGCTCTGCGCTCAAAGGCTGTGTTTCGGTGTGTCTTTCTGTTCATTTGTTCAATTTTCTTACCTTTGCCTAATTTCCCTTTTCCTTTTTAATTTCTGAAATATTTCACATATAAAATACACGGGGAATCTCACCAACCCATGACTCAGATTTACAAATGTAATTATTTTGCCAAATTTACTTCAGATCCTTTTTTATTTTGAGAAATAAAATTGCAGATGTTGGAGGCGCTCCGAGTTCCTGTCCCTCCTTCCCTAGAGGTAGCCACCGTGTTCAGATTTGTGTATATCATTCCCTTGCATATTTTATAGTTGGTTCACAGTGAATCCATAGACAATGTGTGGTGGTATGTGTTTTAAATCTTAATGGTTTTAAATGATACGTGTCTTTTTGCAACTTGCATTTTTTTGATCAGTATCACATTTTGAGATTTATATACAAATGAATTGGTTAATTGTGTTATCTTTGGTTCATTCATTTTAATTGCTGGTATAGAATCCAATTGTATGAATATACCATAATTTATCCATTTCCCAAATCGATGGACTTTGAAGTTGTTTCTGGTTTTTTGACTCAAAACAATCCTGCAATAAACATCTTTGTACTTGTCTGCTTGTGCACACATTTGGAAGTTTCTCGAGGAAATATACCTAGTAGTAGAGTTGCTGGATATTAGGATATGTGCATCTTCAGCTTAACTAAATATCACAGAAGCTCTCAAAGTGGTTGTACTAATTTTCACTCTCACTGGTATTGAGTGAGGACACCCATTTCCTCACATCGTTGCTAATACTTTGTTACTAGACCTTTACTTTTTTGCCTTCTCTTTACTGACCAGCTTCCTTGTAACTTTAGCTTATGGCTAAATTTGCTTGTAGCCACCTTGGCTTCTGCTCTGTGTCAGATGGGTTCATCTCTCACAGCTAACTGGCTCAGTCTTTATCTCACGTGGTCTTCATAAGATAAATTCAAGTAAAAATTTATTTTGCACCTATGGTTGATGTAAAGATAGTAATTTCCATGGTATGTTTTATGTACCTCTTTAGTGGCAGTTGAGGTGATTTAATTACTTTTTAAAATATAATGAATGGTTTTGAAAAATCTTTTTTCCTCTTTAATGTAATACTTGATACAATCAAAATACATGTAACAATAAAATAATAAAAAATAAAATCTATGTAATATATATGCAGGTTGTGAAGCAAAACAATACAATGAACACCAATCAATACACCACTCAATCCAAGAATCAAAATGACCAATATTGTATGTGCTCATCTCCAGAGTGACTATCCTGAATTGTCTGTCATTTTTTGCTTTTTAAAAATAATTTTGTCAGATATGTGTATATCCCTCAACAATGTATTGTATGGTTTCTTTGTTTTTGAGTTTAAAAAAAAGGAATTCTGGATACAGTTTTCTGAGACTTGCTTATTTCACTCAATGTTGTTTCTAAGAGTCACTGATACTGAGTATAGATGTAAGTCATTAATTTTCACTGCTGTGTAATATTCCACAGGTGAATATAACACAGTGTATGCATTCTTTGATGGACATTTGGCTGTTTCTAGGTTTTGCTATTACAAAGATTCTTGTACATATCTTCTGGTACGCAGTTGCAAGAATTTCTCTAATTTTCATGCTGGGGTTTATGACCCCCAGGGGAGTAATGAAGATATTTCTAGGGAGTACTTGGGCAGGAGTGATATTAATGAATCACTTTCTAGATCATTAAATTCCATGTGTACTCTTAAAATTGGTAATGCCTGAGGCCTGTGAGAGAGGCCTCCTGTTGGTTCTGCTTTCTACCTTACCTTTCCTAGTAGCACTTCTACCTTAGATAAGGAAGGCATACCACTTGCCCACATGGAATATTACTAAGGCATTGTCTCAAGCAGAAAAACTCCATGGAACACAGATAATTTAAAATCCAGTATATATATATAATGTATGTATAGTGTTAGAGAAAGCCTTTTCTAATCCAGGTACTTCCCATCTCAAGAGCTGCATTTGCAATACAATTTCACATTTTATGTTTAATTATCAGTGTATGTAGTTATTTTTGATAAATGCTATGCTGTAATAATTATAACAGTTTAAACCAATGATATGTCAGTTTTATTTTTAAGTCACAAGAATTCATCATTTGCAATTATTTAAACTTGGGCTGAACACTTTTAGATGTCATCTTAGTGTGAAAATGATTTCAAACAATTTTTAGTGGTTTGTGAGTAAAAAATGGTTGGAATACTACTGTGGTAAGCTATTTGCTAGAAGTCAAATTACTGGATTATGGGGTGTGAATGTTCAACTTTACCAAATTGTTTTCTGAAGTGGTTGTACCACCTGGTACTTTGGCCAGCAGTTTTGTCAATTTTTATATACTTTGATAAGCAGTGTATAAGAGTTATAGTTGATCTGTAGCTACTCCAACACTTATTATCATCAGATTTCTTAATATTTGTCAATCAAATGGGTATGAAGTGATGTGTCTTTGTGATTTTAATTTGCATTTCTTTGTTAATGAGTTTGAGCATCTTTTCATATGTTTATGAACTGTTTTCCCTTTTGTGAATTACCTGGTCATATCTTTTACCCATTTTTCTCTTGGGTTGTCTTTTAAAACTAATAAACTGGTAACACTGATCCTTTGTTGATTATATGCGTTGTAAATATCTTCTTCCAGTTCATGGCTTGTCTTTTTACTCTTTATGGTGTGTTTTGGTGAACAGAAGTTCTTAATTTTAATGTAATCTAATTGGAAGCTTTACCTGGTCTTGGAATTACAAAGACATTCTCTTGGGTTTCTTTTTAGAAATTTTAAAATGATGTCTTTCACATTTAAATTCATAATTCATCTAGTATTGATTTTTGTGTACAGTGTGAGACAGTGATCCACATTCATTTTTTTCCTCCATGTGGCTACAGCTGGCCTCCTACCATGCATGGAATTGGCCCTCTGTTCACCAGCATGGGTTTGTTTCTGACTCCCCTTTCTGTGCCACTTGTCTGCTTGACTATCTCTGTGTTATACCACACTGTCATAATTATTAATCCTATGGCTTTACCAGAAATCTTGTTATTTGGGTCAAGGGGTCTTGAGTCTCAGCTGTTCTTGGACCTTTGTTCTTGTTTTAAGAATCAACTTGTCAAGTGACGTGAAAAATTCTTTGGGAATTAATTGGAATTATTGAATCACTTTGAGGGAGAATTGAAATCTTTAAGATTTTGAGCCTTCCTGTCTAAGAACATGGTATGTATTTCCATTTATTTAGGTTTTCAATGTCTTTTAATGTAGTTTTGTAATTTTCTCCGTACAGATCTAACACTTTTAAAAGATTGATTCTGATGTTTCTAGT